AGGGTTAACAGAATATGCTATAAGCAACCTATTGCTTTTTTAAATATGTACTTCAATATACAACAGTTTCTTTATTTAATCACTAACATATGCATTGGTGCTGCCATAATATGCTTTTGTTGTGCTTTCCTGATGTGATCTAAAAACAAATAGTGATAAAAATAATACATTAAAATTTCAAATTTTATAATTATTCTGTTTTCTATTTAAAGAACACTATATATTACAGTTTTCTAATATCTGTGTAATCTCTTGCATTTGGTCTAAGTTAAATACAATAAAATTAAACCACATACTGATGCTTATTATAAATACATTTGTAATGGAAAACTATGAAAATAATACTATATTATAAGTAATCAAAAGTAAAATTATCAATCTTATTTCTTTTAAATACATTTCTGTAATGATGTTCATTGAAAGTGAATTATCTTGTTAAATTTAGGAGTTTTGTGAGAAACCTTCAGACTTACCGAATGCTAACAAGATTAAGGCCTCCAAAATCAGCATTTGATGCCTTGGGACAAGGAACTGTAAGTATCACAGTGTTTAATTCAAGCAACTGAAGAGAATGTTTTTATTTTCATAAGGTTGGTTTATCCATAGATCAAGTATTATCATCCCCATTCATGTAATGCTACATGAATATTTCTGATTAATTCTGGATATTAGGAAAAAACACATAGGTTCAAAAAATCAATTTAACAAAAAAAAAACAATAACCTTAACATCTTCAAAATTGAGAAATATCTTCCTTTTTAAAACTCTCGGGTTATAATATTTATTTTTGTGTCCATTTGATTCTCATTGGTGTCCTTAAAACTTAAAGATGTAAAGACAAGCTGGCTTAGCATTATATAAAATTTATTATTGCTCATCATTTCACGTATATTGTGCTCACTTGATATTTTCAGTGTATCTTAATTTTCTTGGTATCTTGTAATAAATATTTTGGCTTTCATAACAAAATACTGTTATCTACTGAGTGTATTAATACTCTTTGTTTCAATTCAATAGTGATATGTTAGTATATGCAAGTTTTAAGTGACATTTTAAAAGCAATGTTTTCCAATGAAAAGTTATAAAATCTTACTAGAATTTTAGAATTTGAAGGAAAAGCTGAATAAAAAATGTTTTAGAATAGATTATAAATAAAAAAACTATTTGATTTAATTATTTAGAAATTTTATTAACAAGTGGTTTATTATGTGTTAGAATTTTTGTTAAAGTATTTATGTTACTTAATTTTTAATAAGTTTTAACAAAAATATGTAATTGAGAAAAATAGAAAATGTAAACTTCAGTTATCAGTTTTAAATTGTTTTTGTGTTTAAAGAATACTTTACATTTTTTGTAAAGTAAAGTAAATCTTGAATTATTCTAAATTTACTGTTCGAAAATTTTTTGAAAAAGTTGTATTTTTCTCTGTCTTATTTCTTATCTAACATCTCTTGGCTTGCAGTCAGAGAAAAGGGTAAGTCATGAAATAAAATTGTAGGTCCTTTGCATGATTTCTGTTCTTCTGGTTGGGTATGGTTAAAGATATTATTACTCTTACAAAACTTTTTTTGATAATTAGTCTTTGGCGCTTGTGATTATTTTTCTGTTGTTGTAACTGCTTGTACTTGGACATCTGGTGATTTAGTAGCTATTTTTTTGTTTGTTGTTACTCATTAAATTTAAAATAATTTTGTTTTAATTTTGGAACTGATGATTCTTTAGCTTGGGGTAACAAAATCTGACTGTATGATTACGAATAAAAATAGGCATTTTTCTTGAATTATCATGTTCCCAGTTCTCCCAAGAAGTAATGGATAATGATTTTTGATTTATCTGTTTCTGGTAATATGAGTTTTCTAAAAATCACAAAGCCTTACAAGAACAGTGTGGTTGCTGCAGATATGTTCTAAAACTTTCTTTTATGACAGGTTTTTCCTTTGCAACACTTTCCTAACAAGCTACTAAATAATGTCAAGGCAAACTTCAAGGGCTGAGCATGGTCCAGTAAATATTGTATCAAATTGTGAATCTTTGAGTCCATCATTTGCATTTTATTACTGGCAGAAAAAAAAACAGTCCACACTTCTGTGGGGTCGTGAGTGCATTTTAAGAGTAACTGTCACGTCCTACTGTTTGGTCACACAAGAATACCCCAAGAGCTTTTTCTGTTTACTAGCTGCCTTCCTTTTATGCTATCAGTTCAAAATTAGGGATGGCTAGCACAGGTAGCCCTTGAGCAGCTTTGCATGAATATCCAAAATAAACAAACAAATGAACAACCTTTAAAATTTAATATCACTGCAAAGTTGTATTCAACCTTGACAAATTGTATGAATTAAAAGTGTAACAAAGGCTTTAGGTTAGGTAGCACAGTATGACTGTGACCAGATTTCAGACATAATAAGAGCTAAGATTAAATATGAAATAAAACTAAGTATTTTACTGGCATTTATTTATTCAGTGTTCATATAATGCATGGAATTGATTAATATATGTTTAAAGCTTCATTGTTAATTGCTTCTTCTTGGATATCATGTAGAATTAACCTGCACAAGGTGTCTTTTTTTCTTTCTGGAATTAATGAAGTGTAGATATATAGATACACATACACAAAGAGAGAAATAAATAAATACACACAAAAGATGAGATTGAAATAGTAGCTCAAGTTTGTACAATGCTCTTTAATTCCACAAAAGGTTTGGTTCAACGAAAGAAGGAAGTACTTTTGAAACAGGAACATCTTCAACTCAGCTTTCACAAAAAAACAATTGAACATTTTTTATAATTCTGAATTATAGAGATGTGAATTAAAGAACATCATAATGATGGTATAAACAGGACACGGAAATGACAGGAAAAATATCACATTTGATTTGTTTGGGACTATGAATTTTTTTTTATACATTTCTGAATGTATATTGTTGTACATGCAATACTAAAATTGTACTGCAGTGTAGCTAAAAGTTGTTGTAGTTCAAAATATGTACTCCCAACAAAATAAATATTAGTACAAATTTTGATTCACAACTTTAAAGTAAGGAAATTTAGACAGTAATAAGTTCACACAATATTTACTTTTCACAGCTAATGAACTTTCAGAACATCTTTTGAAATTCAACTTCTAAACCTGGAGCTTATTCACACAAGTAAACACTAAATAACCTTAAATGTCACATCTATATCCATACCAGGAATAATTAATTTACCTGCAAAATTACATATATGTCTAGAGCTAATTAGCCCAAGTAAACATTAAATGAATTTTGATTAAAGCAATGAATAAGAGTAATGTGTTAGTTCTTGCTAAAAAAAAATTAAATTATAGTAATCATAATTATACTAAAAGAAGTTTATTATAGTTCAGAAATATTCAAAATACATTAAAAAACAAAGGCATTGTTCTTTTTAATATGAATATAATCTCTTATCTTCTGTGTATGTGTGTAGAGTGTGAATTAAAATATAAGACTGAAGTAAGAATTTGCGAGTTGTCAGAATTAACTTTATGACAACTTTGTATGTAGTATAAAATATCCTTATAATTTATTTCCCTATGCTTATTCCTAGGGTGGGTATGCTTTAGCAGTAATGCATGTTGGAGCTCCATGTTGTGGAATGAATGCTGCCGTGAGGTCATTTGTTCGAAACTGCCTTTATCGAGGCGATGTGGTATATGGTATCCATGATGGAATAGAAGGACTAATTGAAGGAAATGTAAGTTGTTTGGTTTCATTATTGAATATTTTTATATATTTTCAACAAAAAAGGAGGTGGTTGGAAGAGAGAAAAATATAAAACAGAATAATGATAATTTAGAACTCTGAGATTATAAGTATCAGAAAGATGTTCTCTTTCCTATTGTTTTCATTATCCTTGCATAAGATTTGTTATAAAATATAATGCATGCAACGTGTGGCAACTGCTGTACATGTTCATAACAATTTTGGTATTATGTTTTTTTTTATTCATTGGTTTTTCAAAAAAAAACTGTGTGCTATATGTGTTATTGCTTTTAATTGTCGATTGTTTGGTTTTAAGAAGAAAAGAAAAGCTATTATAGCCTAAATACATTTTTTTCTCTTATGTTACTATTAGATACTAACTGGAGTACCTATCTGTTGGACAGGTGAAATAAAAACTTGCTTGCAACAAAGGATAGGAAATCATGCTTCTGTTTTATTTTCTTAACATAATAAACATTAAAAGTGCAATAAAAATACATAAAGATATGACCGTTCTTTTTCAAGTCATTTTGTATCACTGTGCCGAGTTGTGCTGATTTGATAGTTTTTTTCAAACTTAGATATGAAATTATATGGGGGATCCAAAACCTCCCCTTATCATGAACTTCTCATGTCATCCTGTATCACTGTGTCAAGTTTGGTGCTGATTGATCAAAAAATGTGGAAACGTGTATTAGCAGATATGAAATGGTAGATATACGACCATGGACGGAGATGGACTTTGATTTATATTGTAGATGAAACAATTATAAAGTTATCTAATATCATTTTGAACACTGCCCCTCCTCCCCTCTTTTTTAAAAGTAAGAACAGCTGGAAACAGAAAACTATTGATATTTTTTTGAATGGAGCAGATAATTCATTTTAAAGTGTTTTCTTTAATATGTTCATATGACAGCTTTAGAACTATGATTATTTTTAATAATCACAATTATCTGTTGACCCAAAACAAGGACTCATTGTTTGTTTGCTGTTTGAAACAGGTTCAAACGATGGGATGGAGTGATGTAAATGGTTTGGTTGGTCAAGGTGGAGCTTTTTTAGGAACCAAAAGGTTGGTAATTGATAAGATTTAGTAACTATTTAAAGAAAAAGTGGAAAAAGAAACTTGTTACTTGCAAAAGAAAAGAGAAGGAAACATGTTTGTGCTACTGGTTTACCATCTTTTAATTTAATTTAAAATATATAATCACTTTTCTACCTGGTAAAATTTTGCATATCTTATGAAAATATGATGTAGTTAATCTAGAAAAAGATTAGTTGAATTCATCATATTTCCTTATTTTTTTAGTATTTTATTAAATTTCAGTTAAATTGCATTTCTTCATAGAAATATATTTAATTAAACTGGTTACTCTTAATATTTATTATAACTTTTTGTTTGTGTGTGTGTGTGTAGGGATGAATTCTAGATTTTCAACTATGAGATTTGGGTGCATCTATTTGATGTTCCTGTTGTATGGTTTGTTTTATTGCATTATAAAATAATTACAGGATTAAATAATTTTAGACTTTATAATTACTTTCTCTAGAATAAGTAGATCCTGCAGTGAAATCTTATTTTAATATTTGGTATTTGTGAAAATTCATAGCTTTCAAATTTCAGAAAGATTTGATTGCAGTATGTTTTTTATGAAACTGTTATATATTCTTACTTTCATTGTAGATTTTAATTACTGATTTTTATGCCTTCCTATGTTATTTTAAGAACAATGCATGTAGTTTCATAGTGTTTATGTCCACTGGCATACAATGAAAATAACATTTTTACTATACCAGAATGAAAAGCAAGCAGATTTTATGTAATAAGTTTTAAATCCTTTTACATTTGTTTATATATATTTATATCTGTTTTTGATGATTTTCTTTGTCCATTTGATTAGTTATTTAGTTCAATATGGCAAACAAGGCCTAAAACAGGGCCTTATCGGTAAAATAAAACTTAGTACAGTGGAATGTAAAATGATTTAACTAAGCCTACCTCATCTTGTGCCACAAAAACATTTCTTATCATACTTCAACACTATAATTGAAATGAAGCATAAAATGATAAACCATCCTTTTAATACACTTTATATATATAAAAAAGGACTGTAAGTGTAGTGAAAGTTGTTCATGATCATCTTTTCTTCTGGAGACATAACACCAAGTTAAGCTTTTATCACTCTGTTCCAAGCTTTATGTGAATACCCAGTGAAATGAAAGCCTTTTTGACTGTTATAGTTGAAGATAATGGATAAAGGACTTTCACGATATATTTAGATCAGTAGCCTATGACTTCTTGAAGCTTAGATATAGGCAATAAAATCTGAAGTTGAGAAACAGTGATTAGTTGAATATCAATAAAACTACACTTTTATTAAAATTAAGAGGACAAGTTAGTGCTATTTTGTTGAAAACTATACAACTTTCTTCTGAGAGAGCTAACAGTGCCATGCTATGCTCGGACAAAATTCAGGAAATTTAAAAACACTAATGACTTCATTGGGAAATCATCCTAAATTAAAATTTGCAATTTTTAAAAATTTTTTTATGTATAAAATTAAGTAAATAAAATTCTTTATAGAATCTCTGAAATATTTTGTTTTTTAATGTGTGGAAAAATGACTACGAGTTTATTTTCTACGATATTTTTAATTCAGTGGTGCAATTTTGCCATCAAGGTAGACTGCACCCATTCACATGTGAAATAGGTAATAAAGGAGACTATAGATCTAAGATTTTGTCCAACTCAGATTAACTAATAGTGAATAACAATGAATTTTAATATTAAACTTCAAGATTTTGACAACCCTCACTTGTTACCTTCACTTGCAAATTTTACTTATTGAAGTTGATGTTTTTATACAATATTTTAGTGTTTGAGAATTTATTCTTTCATACAATTATCTGAGTTGAGATATGTTAGTGGTATCAAATGATTAGCATTCAGTTGAGGCTTTTAACTAGAACCTTCCAGATGTTGTATGGAAGGAACACTGTATGAACATTCAGTACATAATGATTGTTCTGATCATTGTGTTCGATCTTTCCTAGAACCCTTCCAGAACCACATATGGAGCAGGTTGTCAGTCGTTTGAAAGAATTTAACATTCAAGCACTGCTGGTTATTGGAGGATTTGAAGTAATTATCAGTGTTATTATTATATTTGTCTGTGAATTATTTTGTAACTTTAAAAATTGTTTACAACTTAATATTGTAAGCAAATATTTTATACTTGTAAAAATTAGATTAAAGACACATTTGAGAGCTATTTCTAAAAGTGATGAATGATTATTTAATTTTTATAGTATTTCACTCATTTGTTCAGATATTAACTCTCCTTGGGTGAGAATGGTGTCATGATATTCCCAATTTTTTTTTCCTTCTCACAGTGGACATTCTTAACAAAATTCATATAATTTGATTTAGCATTTCTCTCATTTTTTGGTTGTAAAATTCCCACAACTTTGTTGAAATGCTGTTTTGAAAAAAATGTTAAAAATACTTTCTTTCATCTTATAGTATTTTTTATTGTTGATCAGAACGTTTAATTTTACATATCCAGTCAGTTTCAATTTGATTGATATTTCTTTTCATACTTTATTACAGTCATTAGTTACTAATTCCATCCATAAATCATAAAACAAAAAAAAACTACTACACTGACAAAGATATTTATTGATGATTTATGATCTTATCCTTCAAAGTGGCATCATGATGGTTATCTTTGTCAGGCTAGGTATCATGATTTTTGCAAACAAAATTCTTGGTGGAGGTCAAATTATATCTAATAAATGTGGTTTCTTGTCAATAAACAATAAGTTATTTTATTTGTGAGTAGTTTTGATAACATTCAATAAATAAGGATTTGAGTTTAAGAATATTTTACCATCACTTACTGTACTTATTAAATGTAATCAAGCTTACCTGATGCCACAGAAGAAAATATTTGTTTTTAAAAAAAAATACAATTTAACTACAAACATATCTTCATAAGTGAAAAGACTGTCTTAAAAACTTCAAAAAATGTTTCCAAATCTGTGGTTTGTTCCTACGTTTGCTAAACTTCTCATTAGGTGCCTTTATTCACTCCTGTAGCCAGTATGTAGATAAAACATAAATTATTCTTAAAACTACTTTATTTACTGCCCCCAGTGGCACAGCAGTATGTTTGCAGACTTACAACGCTAGAATCCGGGTTTTGATACCCGTGGTGGGCAGAGCATAGATAGCCCATTATATAGGTTTGTGCTTAATTACAATACTTTATTTACTCTAAATTGACATAGACAGATAATATCCTACTTTATGGAATTATACTGAGCAGTTTGATTAGCTGTTTTCAAATATGAGCTTCTTTAATAATTGTTCAGACTACATGCTGTGACACCATAAAAGGTGGTGGCAGTGAAGTAGTAATGGCTGTAGTAATGAAACCACTAACTGAGAAGAAAGGTCGCATAAAAAATAAGACATGGTGCATGTTACTTTGAAGGGATAATAGTTAAGATTATAAACTTGATATATGTATTGTTTACAGGGAATACTCTTTGGAGCTGTGCAGAAATGAAAGATTGGTTTTTTTCCCTACTTTCTAAAATATTTGAGTTAAAATTGTTGCATAGTTAGAATAATTATTTGTAATTAAATTTTGAAATTTGATATGCAGGTGTGCACTTGACCTCTTGAAAGGTGCTAATCAGCCATGATAAGCATGGAACTGACAATAATTATAGTTGGAGCCATTCATACGTGCATTCATTAAATTTCTGTGAAATACTGACTTGTAGTACAAGATGATTTCACAAAATTATTCTTCAATGATTAGAAACTTTCTACTTATTGTAATTTGATTCAATCTTTCCCCACTTATCTTCCTACAGGCTTTTCACACAGTCTTGCAATTGGCTGACAACAGAAGCAGGTACCCTATTCTCAGGATGCCCATGTGTGTAATACCTGCAACTATTAGTAACAACGTCCCTGGTACAGAGTTCTCTCTCGGTGCTGACACAGCTTTGAATGAAATTACAGAGGCTAGTAGTACATAAAATATTTTAACTTGTATGGTAAGGTTAAATATTAGTATTGTTTGGATGAAAACTACATGAGTTCCTGATGTAGATTTTCTACTTATTATTAATGTATGATTATAAGATATTGAAATTCAGGCCACTTTTACTATTTTTATATAATATAAAAAAAGCATGACTTTGTAGCCTCAGATTTGTTTATCCTTTGTATGATGTACATTTTCTGCTTGAATATAACTCTAATGGTTACTTTCTGTTTGAGCATAATTATAATGTGTATTTTATACATGAGAATAAGGATACTGTGTACTCCTTAGATTTGTGATCGTATCCGGCAGTCTGCACAAGGAACAAAACGACGAGTGTTTGTTGTGGAAACAATGGGTGGTTACTGTGGTTACTTATCTACTCTTGCTGGATTGGCTGGTGGTGCTGATGCTGCTTACATCTTCGAAGAGCCTTTTTCCGTCAACCAATTGATGGACGATGTAATGCACATGCAAGCTAAAATGGCAGAAGGTGTACAGAGAGGACTTATCCTTAGGTAGTGTATGATACGTGGTAGTTTGCTAATTCTAAGACCATTTGTGTGCTTGGGATATGCACAATGTTACTTTGGAAACCCTTAAATGACCAGAAGCTATGTAACTTTCTTTCATTAATGATTTATGTTTGGATATGTACAGAAAAGAATACTGCAAGTGGATTTGTAGACAGTACCTCTACCTGACACATTCTTCTGAATAATTTAAGTCTAAATGTAAACAGTTTTCATTTACAGGCTGTAAAAGAAAGAACAGTTAAGCCGAAACTAATAGTCTGTTCTTAAAACAACTAGCAGCTCCTTGAAATAATCACTTTTCACCCAGTGCACACTGATTTGAGATTCTGTGATTTTATAGAAATGACATATGAAGTAACAGAAACAATCCTGTTCTCTGGTATTCTACATGCATTGCTGTAAACCAGAAAATTATAAGTAAGTGGTCATTGCCCAAGGAACATAGAATCCCCATTGCAATAAGAGAGTAATGTGGGTGAGCCTTTCTGTTATTACTTAGTACATTAGATGTAAAAAGTCGTAGACGTGTAGAAATATGTCATAAACATTCCTGGAAAAGCCATGAAATTGTTCTGAAACCCTGCAATGACAGCATACACTGATGTTAATGCACTCAAATAATATTAAGTGAAATATTTTTATTCTTGTATGTATTGAGTAGGTGATCCATTATAAATGTATCAGTTTATTTGGCAAATAATGAAATGAATGTAAATTATACTGGAATTAGTGTACTTGTATTTTTTAGAATAATAATATTTAAAGTGATAAACAGTGTCGATGTTAATAATAATGTTAAAGTTAGTTTTTATGTGACAAATTATACTTTGTATCGTTTAAAAATATGGTGTTACTCTTAGCATTTGCCATTACATTGGATCTTAGTATAACTTCTGTAACGAACTTTAAACTTAACTTGTGTATTTACAAAATTCTCCTATGTTTTGTTAGTTAATAAATAAAGAGCACGTTTTCACACGATGATGTATTTAGTGAGAAAACTGGAAAGTTAAATAACTGATGTAAGGAACATTCCTTTATGAATAATTAAACATATAATTTCTAAGTGTATTCCAAGCATTTTCCTCATTAATATTGTTTTACACCTGATAAAATATCTAAATTGATATAATTTTCAAGTTCAAGAGTAAAGTAAAAAAATACTGTGTGGTATAAATAGTGTGAAAGCGGTAACATGTAGAAACCCTTATATTTATATGTCTGCACAGTTAAATTAGAGGAAGTCAGAAAATAGAAAATGTTTTTTAGAATGATAATTCTGGTAATGGAAGATATTGTAATATAAATATAAGTAGTTAGACATTGAATAAAAGTTATAAAATCTATATAAAGCTCTGTGTAAGCTACAAGCTTTTTATAGATCAAGATTGGTACCTGATTAATGTGGGGAACATTAATTACGTTTAATATTAACATCAGATTTTGTAATTATGTTTATATGATTCAGCTTATTCAAAATTCTGGTTAAATTCACACTTAGATCACTGTTTGCTGAAAAAATGTATATTATAAGAAGTATTATAAACTAACGAAAGTTTATAAGCATTAATCAAATTTATTTCATGCCTTTAAAAACGAGATCACTCAATAGGGATCAAACAAAATGTTAATGTCTATTTTATTATCTTGAATGGTTAAACATTTATAGTAGCAAGGCTGGTAAATTTTAGTTAGTTATTCTGTAAATGTAGACATCTTAAGTTTAAGAAAGTAACGTATGGTAACACGAATAACTGTGTTTCTAGGAATGAATATGCTAACCCTAACTACACTACAGAATTCATCTACAGACTGTATAGTGAAGAAGGAAAAGATGTATTCTCAGCACGAATGAATGTACTGGGTCATATGCAGCAGGTAAGCTTTGTGGTGTAGTTAACTGTATAGGATTATATTCAGTAAGTATACTGAAATAACTCACTTTGAATACACGTGTTATCTATCTACAAACAAGTAAGGGTGAGAATGCAACTGGTAAACAAAAAACAACTCTATGTACAATAAACTTATTAGTTTATTGTTTTATATGTTGTCAGTAATTGTACAATTTGCATAATCAAAGTGGCATATTGAGCTAGATGTACTGATCAGACTATTTTCATCCAAGTTGAAAATTTCAGTTAATATTAATTGAAAAAGATTTGACCTGGATATGACAAGTTCATATATTATAGTTTACCTAAAGAAATAGTACTTATTAGTTTATTGTTTTATATGTTGTCAGTAATTGTACAATTTGCATAATCAAAGTGGCATATTGAGCTAGATGTACTGATCAGATTATTTTCATCCAAGTTGAAAAAGTCAGTTAATATTAATTAAAAAAGATTTGACCTGGATATGACAAGTTCATATATTATAGTTAACCTAAAGAAATAGTACACCGTAAAATATTCATTGCTTAGAAATTTTGTTGAGTTGAGAAAAAAATGTTCAGTTGCAGTTGTGGGTTATAGTGACAAGAAAATCCATATTTGTTCAAATATTAAGCCTTTTAGAGTGGAAAGTTTTTGAAATTAGTTTTTGGTGTTTTAGTAATATTATTAACTTTAGATTTTTGTAAAATGTGTTTTATATGTACCTTCACTAGGGTGGAAGTCCTTCTCCATTTGATCGCAACTTTGGAACTAAAATGGCTGCTAAGGCTGCTGATTGGCTAATCAGTCGTTTGAAAGAGTCCAGAGAAAATAAAGATCCAAGTGCAGGTACAGACCTTGAAACGGCTGTGCTGCTTGGATTAGTCCGCCGTCAATACTGCTTTACCCCAGTACAGAAACTCAAAGACATTGCTGACTTTAAGTAAGCCTTTATGTTTTCTTAAGGTTCTGTCTTAATAGCTGATACATGTGTTATATGTTTTTTAATTGGGTACTGCGTGTGCTTGCGACTTTTATTGCTTAAAATGTTTGGCTATAGTTGCATTATTTTTATTACTTGTTTTAGTGCTAACCATTAATTATACTTGTAAAAAATGTTTGAGAAAAACTGTTATGTTCTGTCTTATAGTTATTACAAACGTATGAAATATTCATTTGAATGTTTCTTGTTTTATGCCTTTTGTTTTCTGCTCTTATATTATGATAAATATTTAAGAATTTTCTTTAATCAACTAGGCTCATAGTCATAAAGAGAAACGCAGACTAGGATTATTCACAATAAAAATATGTTGATCATTAAGGGTATTCCCTTTACCATGACTATACCTTTCTCGTTGCCCGAATGAGCACTTAAATCAATTGATTCATCTTCAGTAAACAGTAACATCTGGTGAGTAGAAGTGCAATGCATAATAACTTCGATTTTTGCATCATTTCACTGCATACCTATTGGATGATTTCTTTCCTTTATGTAAACCATTCTTACATAAAAAAACTAGCAAACATTTTTTAACTAGATATCTAAACTTTTGCAACAGATGTAACATCTTCCCTAAATAGGTTTTTATTAGTAGACGAGACCAAAGTGGGGTCTTGAGGAAGCAAGTAAACACTGAAGTTTACACTTCAGTAGCCACAAAAGGAAATCTTGATTTTCCTATACTAAATAATGGTTGTGTTTATTTTTCAAATTCTCTTTGGTCAAACATTCTTTTAACTGTTTCATTATGGGCAAGTCAAAATATTCACATTGACAAGCTTAGTTAAATTTTTAAAGGCTCTTATCGCATTAATTAGAAAGCCAGATAAATTATAATACTTATATGATATTGTTTGCTTTGTGCATGTTATTATTGTGTCCTTAGGTATATTATTTAATTAAAAAAAGTATATATTTATTTGTTTTAGAACACAACTTTTGGTACTTAGGCCCATATACATTTTGTTAATTTCAAATTCCATAGCAAAATGAAGGGAAATGATAATGTTTTAGTTGAATATAAAACAAATATGCATCATAATTTCATGTACATTTGCAATATCTAACTTCCCTTTACATTTCTTTCTGACATCTGTTTTCATTGTTTAAATCTCAGTACTAATTGAAGTATTTTGGCAGATTTCATCATTGCCATATATATCTGTATCAGTTCAGCTTAAGAGATGGGATGTTTCTAGTGAAATAGTATTTCATTTCGACCCCTGTTCTCCATTTGACTAACTTCTGCTCTGCTTTTGTATTTATAGGTAACACATCATACTAAATGCTTTATCATATTGTGTTTTATTGATTAAAATAATATTTGTACACTATCTAGGCACAGAATCCCTACCCATCAGTGGTGGTTGAAGCTTCGACCCTTGCTTAGAATCTTAGCCAAGCATGAATCCACTTATGAGGTTGAAGCAGAGCCTACTGATTATGATTGGGAAGACTGACTAATCTTAGGTTGAGCTTATAGTTGTCTGTTAAATTTAAGTATTAAATTAATAGTGATTTTATTTCGTGATATCAGTAGTGACTTCTTGAAGAATCTGTATTGTTCCATCAGAATTTATTGTTCTTGGTCAGTAATGTGCACATGTTTGGTAATAATGATTTTTGTGTAAATGTGTGTATGATAAATTTTCTGTATTATTTCCAAGTTTAATTTGAGTATGAAGCTTTTTCAATCATTGCATGTTATAAACCAACTAATGTTATATGATGATGATGCAGAACAGTTCTGTGAATTAGTGGTTAGTTTAGCATCTGAAACTGAGTATAGTTGAAAATTATGGATTATGTATAACCTTTCATGTTAAGTTAGAACATATATATTTGAGTAGGGAATGAAATTTTTAGGAGGAAGAGGGGGGTTACTTGATGGGGTCTGGGACATGCTTTCCTGGAAAACATTTTAAACCATACAAACTGACTGATTCCAAACATTTTGCATAAAACAGTGGGGTTGAGTTGGTAGCATATTTTACCCCCCCCCCCATTTTTGGTCTGATTACCCCTTGTTATTCATCCATTTTGTAATCACAAGCCATCCTATTCCCCCCACCTTATCTTTCATCTGGATCAGCCCCTGATGGGCAACACAATTCTCTTTTGGTAACCATATTTTATTCTTGCATATAGATATTATGCAATATATAAAAATTTATTTTTAATGCAGGTTTCTTTATCTGTATCACACAGGTATTTGCTGCTTTTATTGCCCTTTCTCCGTTAATTTTAATATACTGTGCTAGTTAAACAGAGTTTAATAATTAGAGTAGTGTAATGGTATTAGTCTCTTAATTTATTAGAAAATGATGTGATACTTTTTTTAATTGTAAAATTGTTGTAGAAAAACAAAGTTTGACTTTTCTTTTTCTACTAGATTTGTTTGTCTTCTGTCACCAATTAATTTTATTTACTTCTTTATGTGAGAAACACAAAAATTTAATTTAGTTCTTTCTTTTTTACTGTGATGGGAAATTGACCAAAGAAAAGTGTTATATTAATCTGATAAACACATATGTCCTGTGTTATAAATAAAAGTATTTTTGAGCTTAATAACACATTTTTCTCTAGTTATATAAAGATTTTATTGTTATGTATAGTTGTTTTTTATTAGATAAATGGATTTCTTATTGAAATTTCTTGGAAATCATGAATGGATTTTTAAAAGGTTTTTAAACCTTACGAAGTGCTACTTTCAAAGGCCTAGTTGCAATAGAACTATTTATGTGTTAAAATGTAAGTGGAAAATCTGAAAGTGGTATTCAGAACTTGTATCATTCAGTATACTTATTCCAGATTTATTAGAGTATCAGTAGATACAGCACAGCCAGTTTTTAGTAAAATTTTATGTTTTAAGTGCTTCCTTTTCAACAATGGCAAAAAAAATTTTTTTTGCTTCAATTTAACTCATTGTGAAAGTTTTGGTTTTTAAATATGTTAATTAACAGTAGTGACATTTTACAAACAAATAACACTATCGGAAATTGTTTTCTACAAATAAATGTTTCTTGGGATTTCCATTATGGTGCACATAATCCTGAAATGTTTTTTAGTGATTATCAGCTGTATCATGATGGACTATGTCTACCTCATCTGAATATTTATAACTTGTTTCAAATCAAACATTCCAAGTTTATTTCAGCTACTTTTAGTGTAAAAGCTTTGTTTTACTAATATATTTGTTTTGCAAATGAACCATTAATGCATTTAATAATTGTATTAAGTTTTTTTTTGTGCAAATTTTTGTGAACTTCCTATAGGATAGCACCATAATAACCAATATCAGTTATGGTTGTATATCAATTGGATACTAGAAATTTGTTGCAAATAATTCTTTTTTTGTAAGTTATAACACTTACGAAAACAGCATTGTTGATATGAATGTTAATGCTAAAGATGATTACAATATATTTAAGATTTACACTCTGTTTATATTGATATTTTTTTGTGTGATACATCATGATGTACCAAAGTTTAAAGGTTGTTGAACTGACATTTTGTGATGGGATGTTTTTACGTGGGTAATTCACCTTCACAATGTGGTAAAGTTTAATTGTTGTTGAACTGACTCTTTGTGATCAGATGATGTTTTAGATGAGTGATTTATCTTCATGATTTAGGAACGTTTTACAGTTTATTGAACTGAATTTATGGTAATTGAATGGTGTTTTAGTGGGTGATTCACCTTCATGGCATAGGAAAATTTTACAGTTTGGTGTGATGTTTTATGTGTGATTTACCTTCTTAATATGGTGGAAGTTTTAAGAAGATCTTAAAGAGAGTTTTACCTGAATAATGTTTCATGTGAGTAATCCACCTTTATGGAAAGATCAAAGCTAAAAGGGTGTTTTATATAATAACACAATTGTAATTGATCTAAAGTCATTAATTAGGTCTGAGGTAAAATTTTTTCTTAAATCCACCTTGTTTCAGCATTAATATACCATATACTCAGCCACATAGACTTAACCCAACTAGAAATATGTTAATGTTAAGACTTTATTTATTTCTAAGCAATAGCAGTAATTAAGAAAAAAATAAATAAGGATTTTTTTAAAAATTTTAAAATATGATTAAAGTAACATGTTGTGTATGCAGAAGAGGGAACAAAGCACTTTTAGTTTAAAATGTGTTACTCTAGACTACTTAATGTTTAAGTTAAACTAGTGGAGTTTTAATTTTAATTTAGAAGTGTAGTTTGTTTTTTATAGTGCAATTTAGTTATATTTTTGTGGAGTAATCCTTCCAGAAGTTTTATGTGTTATTAATTATCTCTTCAACAGGGTGTTATTTATTTTTAGCCGAATAAGTCGGCAGGAGCTAAAGAGAAATATTATAATGTAAGGAAAAAAAAAGTTTTTTATTGTGATAAATATTTAAGAGTGTATCAGTATTTTTGTGAACTTATCTGTATGTATGGAAAGTGTATGTTCACATATATATATGTACACAACCTTCTCCTTCTGTTGTGCGAGATGAATGTTGAATGTGACCAGTATGATCGAAATACCTTAAAGCAGAATTTTTTTTTAGGAACTTCTTTCACTAAAACAAATTTGAAAATGGCAGTCTTCAAGTGATTTCTTGAATTGTATTTCAGCTTGGAGATAAGTTTTGGTTTCATAATGTATATTTTAGGGAATATGTATACATTTTTGTGCTTTAAGAAATTAATCAGGACCACTTTTTTTATATATATATATTTTTTAATGTAGTCAATACCTCATTATTTATACTATCCAGTTGATATTATACAAGAATTTTTTGTTCATTTCCTTGATCTTTTTTTATGAAACTTTCAGTTTGTTCTGTTAGTTGTTTTCTTTCAATCTTAAACGGATGCATGTAAGCTGTATGTGTAAGTGGCTTTTCTTGTGCTTGCAAGAATTTGAGATTTATGAAAATTATTAAAATAAAGTGTAAAGTGTTATTTCTTCTTCATGAAACTTCAGAACATGAAAAATAAATAAAATTCATTTATGAGGATGCTTTTTTGTGTTAAAAATTGTAAGAAAACATAAAACCCTGATCTTAAAGCTTACTAAAATTACAAATGTATTGATCTTTATGCAATTTGAAAGAGGGGGGGGGGCGAATTAAAAACAGAGCACATGGGTGTATTAGAGAGACTGATTTTTTTCTTACTTACATATATAACATTTTGAAGTTAATAATACATTTTTATCCCCATATAATTACTTTAGCACATAATAATAGTTTTCCTTTTATACTGATAATCAATGATCTATATAATTTTTCTCGCATAAAGATTGTAAGCTATGATAACACTTTTTGTAACATACAAGTACAAAGAATAATATACAAATATTACCAAACAACAGAATATTCCTTAAACATTTGTAATAAGAAATAATTCTTGAAATATAATGTACAACTGCACAGCACCAAATTCTATATACTGCCAGTGGTTTTAAAGGTGAGAAGCAAAAGGCTTAAAGAAAAAAAAAGAATGTATACAATATAACTAATGCACAGCATTCAGGGAACATTCTCAAAAGGTTTTTTTTTTTTTTCAAATTAGAAAACTTAGTAAGTATAACCTCACCATTTTCAAAGATTTAAGTTTTTTTGCGAAGAATTAATTGGTAGTTGTAGTTCATTTTTTTTTAATATTATCCCCAATTAAAAATAGAACTATTAATCAAAGATAATGTAGCTGAGAATTATGTGTAATTGGAAGATTTATATTCCGCTGTCGGACATATCAATCTTTTCTCACCTTTATTTTCGAGTATAGTAAGGCCTTGTCCACCGATTTCTGTTAGGATGAAAACCTGCTTTGAGAAATTGAGAAAAAAAACAAATGAGGTCAAGTGAAAGAAATACACGAATAGCGTCCCTGCCAGCTTTCTTTTTTGCCGCTGCCTCTCCCTACTTTCGTTTTGGCAATTTTCCTTTTTTTTTAATTATCGTTTTTAAATCAAGCAAAGAAGACTTCTGAATTAAAAAAATGAATGAACATACTTGATTTATTTTACCCTTCTTCTTTATTTGTTTTAAATTCTGTATCATTTTGATGAAAAAATGAGACAAAGAAGACTTCAGTTTCACATGGACACTTTGAAAACAAGGAACGAATCATGAAAAAAGGGTGCACTTTCTTTAAAAGAGGTCATTTAAAAAAAGACCCCCTCCTCCCTTTTTTTAGAAACCTCCGGACGCTAAACATGCCTTTTTTTTTTTCACTTGGCCTGATATTAAATTTTGGTTGTAAAAAAAAAAGAATTGGATAATGACAGAAGTTAATACTTTATTATGTGTCTTAGTTCTTTTTACAACTAATTTTTTTTTAAACAATTGAAAATACTCAGTCGCAACTTAGATACACGGCTTTTAAATAATTGTGTATAAATTACATTTGCAACCTTAAAATGTGAACACTTGTGTCAGAACGGTACAATGTATTACATGTAATTATTGTTAGGCATGTCTGTAAAACATGAGGGGTTCTATCCTACTTCTCAGACAAACACTTTAGTGAACTTGGGAATATATTACATTGCATCTTACGTAACGCCTCATCACATCACGTGAAAATAGTACTTTATGTGAATGAATTCCTATTATGCACTATAGGGGGTGAAATTCTCAAAAAAAAATAAAAGGTAGAGGTAATCAGTTGATGAAGTGAAACTATTTTTAAAAAAGAACAAAAAAATAGACAAAGCAACACAAATAAATCCTGGTACTTAGTACCGCCTTAAAAAAATAGATACCGATGAGTACCGGTAGAATTTCGGCCCTGTGCGCTATGTTGCTGGAATATTCGATATTGAAACGATATGGGAAACAGTTGGAGTTTCGGAAACTGATTTGCTGAAAGTTTGGAAACAAATTAAGTTATTTATATTAAGATTATGGTCGTAATTTGATTGTGAAATTTCTCTAATCCTTCTTGTTCTTTTCAATTGGATATTGGTTTTGTGCTTGATTAACCTACTGCCATATTAATAAAAGACGTTTAACCACCAGGTTGTGTATGATATCTGAAAACAAAATGGGAAAGCTACAGTTCAATGAAAAGTAGACACTAAAAAAAATCAAATCACATCTTCAATTGTTAAAACATTCTAAATGCCGAGATTACTTTTTACCTAAAATGTTTGTCGAACAATTTCCAATTTTCTAAGATGCCATGATAACCTAATTGGAAAACCTGAACTTTATTATATTTTCATATGTATAGGATGGTTTACAACAAATTTTAAACATTTAAAAGGCGTGAGATTTTATGTTGTTGAATTTCGCGCAAAGCTACTCAAGAGTTATCTGCACTTACCGAACTTCATTTGGAAGTGTAAATTAGAGGGGAAAGCAGCTAGTCAATACCACCCAATCGTAGGCTACTCTAATTCAATCGTAACTCTTGCAATGCTGTGCTCCCACGACCCCCAAAATACCGATCGCGAATTTTTTTGTTTTTCGACGGTAGCGGAGCGCGAACCACCGAACCCTACTCGTCCCAGCATTTTACGATATAACTTTATAAACCATATTCTTAAGTTTCATAATTGCATTATAATTAACTATTACATTGTTACATCGTCTCCACGTTTTACAGGTCAGATATTAATTGTATTTTTTTAAAGTTTGTTTCTTAGTTTATTAAAGTAGTAAAATTTAAAAGAACACAAACGTACAATAGTACCAACTTTTATAGTACGCGAGTTCTCGTTTTAATGATTGTGACCTGATACTAGGGGTCAGTTCATTGGGTTCCTCACTAAACAGAATTAGAAGTAGTATTTTTCGGTTGTAGAATTTAAATTAAAATGTTTATAAAATAAAATAAACTGTAGAAATTGAATGAATATGGTTATATGTATATAATGAAATAAATAGCTTCAATACTATTAATTACATTAATTTTAAGGGTAACTGCCTTCCCACAATTGACAATGAAAGGCAGTAGGAGTTGGGACGTTGTGGGTGTAAGCACTCAACTCCGTACCTTTAATTGATTTCCCATGATTACTGGCTAGTTTAACATCAGTGTTTGAATTTTGTCTGGTAGATGGGATATTCCCACCGCTTTTGGGAACTATTACCATAGGCATTATCCGTTATGAATTTTAGGTGACAACTATGACTGACAATGGATTCTTTATATACACACAAATTTGTGTGCGAATTTAACTTCTTTTTTTTTTTTTCTAAAATAAGTACGACAGCTGGCGTTTTATAAATGAACAAGGTGGAATGCACCTTTGGGTTTAAGGTTCTCTTTCCAATTTGTCAATTTTACGTATCACATTTATATAGTAATTCACAATGTATTGCGATTATATTCAAATTACAGTATACTCCAGTGTTTATTAACAACATACATAAACGTACATGCACAAACAATGAAAATTTGAACATTAAATGCTGCTTGATGTGAAATAAAAGTACGTCCAAGTTTTTTGTCTGTAGTTAAGATCAAAGCAACACAATGGGCTATTTATGCTTTGCTCACCACAGGTATCGAAGCCCCATTTTTAGCGTAATAAGTCTTCAGAGTTACCACTAATGGCAACATCCAAAGGATTTATGCCATATGATAAAAAATAATCAATATTTTATAATAAAAAATTTCAATTAACATAAATGCTAAGCGTGTGTACTAATATAATTGCACAATGGATTATTTTTAATAATTTTTATACAAATATAAAACGAGTTTTTGACTTTCACCTACAGATGATTAATTAAGAAAAGAAATACTTTACTAAACAACAGTCAAAGAAATCTTATAGCTTACATATCCAAGGAAACACTGGTAACTGTGAGAACATTGACCAAATGAATATTTACCCCCGATAGGACAGCAGTAAGTCTACTGACTTGCAACGCTAAAATTCAGGGTTCGATTCTCTGCAGTGGACACAGCAGATAAACCACTGTGGCTTTGCTCTAAAAAATAAATAAACATAATACACAACTGAGGAAACACTGTTAGCACTAACAAGACATTGTTGTCCAATGAAGGCTCCGGTAACAGGGCCGAAAGCTCGCAAATAAAAGTATTTTAACGTATATAATTCTAACGTGTATAATTATACATATCAAGTTGTGTATCTCAAGGTTCGGACGGAAGCTGTAGCTATAAACATTATATCATTAGTTCTACCATAAGATGCTTAACAAAACTAAACAACTGCCTACACCTGACAAGATTAACCCACCAAATAAAAAGTTGGGTTTGGTTTGTTTGGAAGTTCGCGCAAAGCTACACGAGGGCTATCTATGCTAGCCGTCACTAATTTAGCAGCGAAAGATTAGAAGGAAGGCAGCTAGCCATCACCACCCACCGCCAACTCTTAGGCTACTCTTTTACCAATGAATAGTGGGATTGTCCGTCACACGGCTGAAAGAGCGAGCATGTTTGGTGACAGGATTGCAGATTGCGAGTCGAGCGCCCCCTAACCACCTGGCCATGCTAGGCCCCAAGTGAAAAGGATCAAAGGTTTACGTTTTTAGTTCACGTTTAATAAACATTGTCCTATGGGCGGGATTTGGGACGAAATTTTTTTTTTTTGGGGGGGGGGGAGTCTGACTTAATTTTTTGAATGTCATATTATACTACATTCCAAATTAAAAAGTGGAGGAAGATACTCCTCTTTCCCCTGTAATCTCGCATATACGTTAACCTGTGTCATTTTACGTTCTTACACTTTCACGGACAAAACTATTTCACTGCATACAGCCACGGAAAGTAGACTGAGATTTACTATACTCGACAAAAAACAACCACAAACAAACTCAAAGTACGATTTATATGACAAGGAGGTCGAAGTTCAGTGTGCATGACACAATTTTTTCAGAGTCAATATCCTTGACTGCATTTCTTTTTTTTTTTTTTTTTTGTCTCTACCCAGCCTTGCCAAAAGAAAAAATATTTATGCCGGTAGAGGGAGAACAAAAAACGCACGGTGGTGGTCAAAATAACGGATGGTCGTAACTTCATTCGTTAAGACGGCGAGGATGATGAAAAATGTATTATTATTATTTTTTAGCCTTGAATAACTTGTTTATTTCTTCGTGGATAAGAAATATTGTCCATTTTACCATATCACATACAGCTCTTCCTATTTGACTGATCGCAGCAATACATAGAAAGTAATTATTTTTTTCCACGTAAATTTTAATCTTTAATCGGTGAATCGTAATCTGTTAAGTTTCATTCTTGTCTGTATTTATGCATAATTTTGAAAACAGTTATAATTGGTAGAGAGGAGATTCCCTTTGACATTTATTGTACTAGTACTTAACAGTGGACGTCGTCATAATTCTTCTGAAGTCTGCGAGGAAAAGATGTCAAAGTATTCCGGTAGAGGAAGAGTCCAATAAAATAAGTGGTAGACTTCTGTACAAAGAAGTGAAAACAAAAAAAAAGTACTCCTGTCGAGCAGAATAATGTTTACCATCATGCTCACTCTTCTGTTATTGTAGTACTTAGTGGGCAATTTTGTTCGTCACTGTTGTCACCACAATTGTCAACGCCATCACACCATGATTCGTGGTTAACACAACGACCGTTCTGACATTGTTGTTGATGAGTTAAGCATGACGCACGACACAGCTCCGGTTCATCACTCAGATCGTTACAGTCATAGTAGCTGTCACAAAAGTAATCGTTAGGGATGCACTGGCCGTTATTGCAGGTAAACTGGGAACTAGGGCACACTGAAGAATATAAAAATAAATAAATATTTACCACTGAATTATCACAGATCAACTTAAATCCAAGACACACTGAAGAATATATAAGTAAATAAACAGTAATTTAGTATTTATCACATAATATTCGAAACAGTATTCGATACACATAGATTAATTCGATAAACAAACTAGCAAAATATTTAAAGTGTCAGATTGATATGAGTTATTCAGTTTAAGCCAATCATAATTCTTACTTGTAGTACAATTGGCTTCGTCACTACCATCCCAACAGTCTATATAACCATTGCATCTCCTGGTAACTGGCAAACAGGAAGTGTCGTTCCCACAGTGGAACTCATCTTCCTTGCAATCTAAATAATAATAAAAAAGTCACCGTTCACATATACACTAATACAGTGACGTAATAAGTCGTTGTTTGCCTACCTCTTATTATATCAGCATAATGTGCTTCCTTACTAAAGTACAGTAGCGTAAAAAGTAATTGGGCCCTCTACATTTATTTCCCTATAATTGTAGTTATGATTCTGGCTGAATCGGGTTCCCTTTTGGCTTGCCTCCCCCAGCAATTGAGAAGGCTGCGAAGGCATACTTACGCCACTGCACATATATATTCTAAGTTTGCAAACTGGCTACATTTATTTTTAAGAAGCAAACACAGACAATATATAAAAAAAAGGTGCACATTAAAAAACATAATAAGAATACTCAAACGTACAATATTAATGACAAACGTACCAATATTATGTCACTTCTTCACAGTCTTACGTACCAATATTATTTCACTTCTTCACAGTCTTACATTCATTTCACCACTGAGGTGTCATTTGTTTGTGGAAAATCAACTGAAATACACAAGTGTTTAACGTATATATTACAAAAACAGAGTTTTCCACTACTAGGTGTTTATAAATTTGGTGTGTGTTTGTGTGTAATCAGTACAATTTAAAATGGCGCAAATGAAGTTGTATCACAGTGTTAAGAAATAATAAATATACTTTGATAATCACTATTTCATTCCACTGGATACCAGCAATAAAAATAATTTTGTAAATGTAAAATGATGTAGGAATGGTAGTGCCAAAAAGAATGCAAACAATAATATATGGATGATACAGTTATACATAAATCATTCCTACATGACTTTTAATATTAAAATTTAATGTTACAGTTTAAATGCATACTTGACTTTAATATTAATGAAGTTGGAAGTTATATATATTCCTAACTGTCGGTATGTAATTTATTCATCATAATATCATAGTCATGTCAGGATAGTCATCAATGTAGTGTAACTAAAAGCCTAAGACATACGTACAAGGAAAACCAAGTTGAATCAAAACATGTTTTGATTATTACAGACTATCACATAGTTACGTTACCAGGTCGATCAATTCGACCGACCTCGTAACCATTTTGTACTCGTGCATTTTACAGTGTAACATTACATTTTAATATTGGAAGTTATGTACGGATGATTTATGTATAACTTCATCATCCTTATATTCTTGTATTGGCGCTACCATCCCTACATCATTTTACATTTACAAAATGTTTTTGTTACTTGTTTTGTGATGTTTTTCCCCTGAATGTGTATTCTATGAATTTGTGTAATAAAATTTAATATTATATGTATTGATTTTTTTTTTTACTCCTTCACTTCATACATAATACAAGGGGTGGCTCCCTTATGACACCGATTGTATAGTGTACAAAGCATTCAGTATTCTACATGTTACATTCATCTAATGTTTATCTATTATTGGCTGGTTATTCCTGTTTCACCCTGTACTCAAGCTTTTTTAAAGAAACACCAGATTTCTGTAAAAAAGCTAACTTCAAGGGATAATAATAACACCGCTTACACTAGAATTACGATTTTTTAGAAATTCCTACTAGTTATTACGACTAAGCGATGACATCGTGCACTGCCCAAAAACACATAGAGTGGATTTATGCTTAAACTGACGTTAATGATAAAGTAGTTGTAGAGTTATCTCGACTGAAACAACAAGAAGAAAGATGAACAATTTGGTTGGGTTGGTCACTTTCTGGTTTGGTATCTTAGCGATGTTTTCTTGCCTTGAATTAGGGCTTGTTGGGTAGAAAAACAAATTAAAGTGAGTGGCAATCACGTTTTAAAATAAAACTCTGTCATTGTTGATTTTTTAGCGTGCATATTTGCATTATGCCTATTGAGTACCTTGGCCATCTCTACATGTATAGTATACCGAATCTAAGACAGTTAAAGCTTACCACAGTTAGCCTCGTCAGTCATGTCATAGCAATTGAAATGGCCATCGCACCGTCTTTTGGCTGGAACACATAATCCGTCACCACAACGCCACTCTTCAGAATGACATTCTGCGAAAAAAAAAAGAAAAAGATATGTATCAAAATTCCTTATTTTATATCTAAGTTCACACATTTTATCTGGTAGATCTCAACATCTTCTACCTTACAGGAGCTCGCGAATGAAACCAAAATTTGAAATATAATGAACGTACCAGAAACGTCTACACACTGATACAAGTGGTCATCAAGCTGACGACAAATTTCGTGGGACCCAGTACACCATCCACCACACCCTCTAGGGTCCTGTGGGTCAATAGAGGCTACACACCGAGGGGCCAGCACTCCAACAGAAATTATACAAATTCCATGTTGGCAGTGACTACACGGTCCACCTGTGTAAAAATTAAATATTAAATGCTTTTTTTCATCCAAACCATACACATGTATAGGTATAAAGAAAAACTTAGTTTTGTGTACTTGCTATTAATATATATATATATATATACACACATATATATACCTTTATGTAATTCTAAGCTTTCGAATTGGCTACATTTATTTGTCAGGAGCAAAAATAAACGAAATATATAAATAATATAAAAAACATTGCGTTTTAAAAAGAACAATAAGAATACTCATAATCGATACAACATGTGACAAGCGTACCAATATTATTTCACTTCTTCAACGTCTTAAATTTATTTCAATCCTGCCTAAAAATATTCAGTTTGAGAGTAGGCTAGTAGAGATCCTGATGAGTAATAAAATCGAATCGGGTATACGCGCGCCCCACGCTTGGTATTGCTGGCGCACAAAAATATAGCTAATAAAAAGAGGGGAATAAAAGGTCTGATAGATTAATTTACTCTAATCCCGCCTAAAAGAGTTTCAAGTGCTGCGGGTATTGAGGATTCCCTCTTGTCTCTTATCAACGCGTATAGTGAAAACAAGAAGAATATTTTTATAGCAACGTCACCAAAATCAAAATTTTTAAAAGACTCACGCTTAAAAGAAAATTGTTACTGGCAGAGATAACCTACTCGAAGTCACTACAGACTTTAACCATATGAAAAAAACGCGCGAATTTTGTAGAAAATGAATTGCTTGAGACGAGTGATAATTGGCCCTAACCGGATTCCAGAAACGTTTACCAAATCTAGACAATCTATAGCTTTATACACACACACATATGAACTAGAGGTCACTTACTTTGCGATCTTTGCCAGTTTTTTACACTTTTGCATTAGGAAGAGGGCACCGATGCTAGCCATTTTATCCTTTGTATTAACGAAGAGGCAACATTCTCAATGATAAACCTTTTCTTCATATTAAAAACGCGTATGTCATACCTATCTATAGTACTGTTTATAGTTGAAAGAAACGCATGGTTGAAAAACTTACCGAAGACAATGGTATTAGTGACAGAAATGTGGCTGAGGATGAGATGGTATGTTTCAACTTACCTGTTGATTCTGACGTCGACTCACCAACGACTTCGTTTGCTGATATGGCTTCTTGCGTCGTCACGTTTTGTATATTACGAGGCTCACTCGGCGAAGATGATTTGATTGAAGACAGAGTCGGAGAGGAGCTAGACGACGGAGACGACTCAGTAATGAAACATACACAGTCTATTATTTCAATCTCGTGACCACCTTTTCGCCTGCATGGGTCGTTGTTAAGTAATCTTATTCCGTGACCTAACTCTGTCCTGCAGTCTCGAGATCTACTGTGGATTCTGTTGGAGTCACATTTGCCCTCTAAGTCGTTACACGAAGACCACTGACCCCAAGGTGACCACGCAGCTAAAATATAAAACAGTAAATCACGATAAATATCACATTTAATATATAATTATGTAATACATTTTCTTAAAACAAATATTTCCACCTTCAACAATCATTTGCCAGTTGAAAACATTTGCTTAACACTAAAATAAAACTGTGATACAGTATTAAAATTAAAACAAGATGGTGAATACTTATGTAACACAGCCCCCCAGTGGCACAGCGGTATGTCTGCGAACATACAACGCTAGAAACCGGGTTTCGATACCCGTGGTGGGCAGAGCACAAATAACCCACTGTGTAGCTTTGTGCTTAACTTCAAATAAACAAACAAATCTTATTTAATATGTTAATTTTGCCCGAAAAAAAAATTAAAGCAAAATAATCCTGAGAAAACCACTAGTGGTAAATAGCATGTTAGCATACTAAAATAAGGGTGTGAAGATTAGGATATTCAAGTGAGGCTGTTAAGATAAACCAGAAATATCAATACTAAAATATGGGCGTGAAGATTAGCATATTCAAGTAAGACTGTTAAGATAACCAGAAATATCAATACTAAAATAAGGGTGTGAAGATTAGCATATTTAAGTATAAATGTTAAGATAAACCAGAAATATCAATGCTAAAATAAGGGCGTGAAGATTAGCATATTCAATTACGACTGTTAAGAAAACTAGAAATATCAATACTAGAATAAGGGTGTGAAGATTAGCATATTCAAGTGAGGCTGTTAAGATAAACCAGAAATATCAATACTAAAATACAGGCGTGAAGATTAGCATATTCAAGTATAAATGTTAAGATAACCAGAAATATCAATACTAAAATAAGAGTGTGAAGATTAGCATATTCAAGTATAAATGTTAAGATAAACCAGAAATATCAATACTAAAATATGGGTGTGAAGATTAGCATATTCAAGTAAGATTGTTAAGATAACCAGAAATATCAATACTAAAATAAGCCTCTGGACATCATCAGATTATTGACGAATTTCTAATTGAAATACAAAATATAAGATAACGAAGTTTTTTTTGTGAATTAAATTTTTCATGTATACAGAGAAATCAGAAATGTCACAGAATATTGTTCATTTTGTTTAGCTTTATTTTTTTAGGGGAATAATTGCATATAATTGGAAAACCTGTTACACAGATATACAACTATCAGTGTACATATTCTCACCATCTGATGGAGGTGGGGTTATTGGTTTCAGGTCGACAGGTGGCGTTAACACTCCTTGTAGTCCTGCGAATAAATTACAAGTCATAGTGACAATATCGAAGATTGGAAACAGGAGTTATTGTATTAGATTATTTTTATATAAAACAAAGCAAAAATATAATTTTTAGTTGTTAAAATTTAAAGCAAACACGAGCTAAATCTGAAAGCACAATCTAGTAAATGTTATTGCATAAAATGCCTAGTTTAAATATCGGAACTTTTTAGCCCTAAATTTTTGATGAAATGTAAGATTACAAAAGACTTTTTCTCTTAACTAGTTTATTATACATTTTAGACTAAACGTGTATAAAAATAACATTTTATCTACTACCTTGAGCATATTTCAACGAACTTCCCAGCAGCCTAAAGCCTCCTCAGAGGTGCTTTATGTTAGATAAAAGATATTTGAAATACTAACTTTAGGTCTACACACCTATGGTTTTAGGTCCGTTATGGATTGACCAAAAGTATTTGGACTCGTTAAAATGTATGAACAATCCAACGAGTAAAGTGATAATTCACTACATTTTGTAGGCCTAACAGTAATAACCTCTTAAAGTTCCTCAAAGTATATGGCGACCAATAGAGATAAATTTTACTTCGTCAGTAGATTATAATCTAAACATTAAATTAATAACTAAATAAGTTTTGGAAGTTGTGATGTTTTAAGATAATGTACAGATCAAATGTTGTACGAAATGCATTAGCCAAATTTTTACGCATTCATGATACAAAAAGTTAGTGATACCTAAAAATAAATATCCAACCTATCATTCGATTCACCACCATATCACTTCATACCAATTTCGGGAAAAATCGAAAGTTTTAGTTTCATGTTTATTTTTAGTATTTTAAAAACTTTGCATATTGAATTATTCAGAAAAAAAAATCAAATTATCAATGCTGCATATTCTTCAAACCCTATGTAAATAAAGGCTTACCATGGTGAGTAAAAAACAACTCAAAACACCGTACATATAAATAATTGTTTATCAGCTTAGATGTTGTTACATCAGATACTAACTTCTTACAATCTTTTTGTTCATGGAAAAAAATATTCTCGTTCGAAACGTAAAAAATAAAATAAAAAAATTATAGAATTAGACAATTCATTAAGACTCTGAAAACATTACGTTTTACATAATAACTGCCCCCCAGTGGCACAGCGGTATGTCTGCGGACTTAAAACGCTAGAAACCGGGTTTCGATACCCGTGGTGGGCAGAGCACAGATAGCCCTTGTGTAGCTTTGTGCATAATTACAAACAAACAAACATAATAACTATTTAAAAATACATTTATAATGTTCTAAAATGCCCTCCTTTAAAATGATTTAGAAAGCATTTTCGTGAATAACTTTGTGCTAAATTTTGTCAACAAAACATAAGGAAATTCCCATAAGGAAACTATATATATATTTATATATATATGAATCATTTCCAAACACATGCAGTATTGATCTTTTTTGTTATTATTATTTCCACGTGAGTAAAATGAACAGGTAAATTAAAACGCTAAATGCAATGTCACGTAAATATTTATTATTAAATTTAAGAGAAAAACTCAACATATGAATAAAGGTATTTGTTTTTAATGTTAAAATAAAACATAACTTTAATAAGTTGGAACAACTACGTAAAGAAAGAAAATGAACAGCGTTTCAACCAAATCACCTACTAATATACGAAGATGTTTATATAATTTTATGTTGTTGTAATATTTTACAATAGCTACTTGCCATTTTGACGTTAGGTCTTTCTTAATCAACAAATCTAAATGGATTAAAAATCCAAATATTTTCTATTATTCTCTAAAGACTTTCATCCGCCCATTCGTTCCCGCATTTATTTATCTACTTTATTTTTATTTGTATTTCTATAGATGTCTATACCTTACCTACCAGCAAATGTAATAGATGTAATATCAACATGAAGTGATCCTGTTGGCAGCATGCCATGCCCTTTCTCCAATATTTGAACAAAGGTTAGTCCCACTTGCTCTGCTGCCCTGGTGAAGGGACGGTTCAGAAAGATTCTGCATTCCACTATTACACTTCCTTTCCTGTGCAAACGAAAATAAATGATAATAATAAACCTGATAGAGCACCATCTGTGTTAAGAATTAAAAACTAAAACAAAACTTAAAGGAGCTTTATGTACTTTATTGTTGAAAAATATGGTAGAGGGGTATATTATTCAATAATATATTTAATGATGTATAAATCGTATGGTAAAATAGTCTTTATTTTTTTAGTACTTAAAGGAAAGACTTTTCGACCATTTAGCCAATCAATTGATTAGAATATTTATTTTGAACTTATTATTCACAGTACTTCCAATCAAGGTATTGATATGATCTACATATTGTATTTTTACTAACAATTATTTGATTAAGAGTAAAAACAAAATCGACGTTTCTTGACACAATGAAAGATAAAGTCCTTATTATATTTTTCAGTCGAGTAGTTTTGATAACACGGTTACCATCATCAAAATTAGCCCCAATAATGGTAACCATGTTACCGAAACTAGTTGGCTGAAATATCTAATAAAGATTTTATCTTTCATTGTACCAAAATTTTTTTCGTTTTTACTATTAATAAGGTAGCATAGTGTGCCTGAAAAGAAATCATTATAAGCACTTGATTTTTTACCATAAGCATTTTCGTTAATCTTAACACAATGAAAGATAAAACGCGACTTTTACCTGAATCCTATAATTTCTGTCGCATTGTAATCTCGAACTAAAGGGCTCATAAAGAATAACTCTTCCAGCTGAAATAGAAAGTACAATATCTGTATAAAAATTTAAAATGGTATTTCAGAAACATAATTTCATAGTTTCTTTGAAGAAAGGATTAGGAAAAAACATGGTTTCCATAATAAAATTGTGGTATATAAACACGCTGTGTATTTTCTACCTCATTGTATTTATATATGATGTTTTCTAAGTTTGTCATTTATGCAGATATATACAGTTTCGACATAACACTTTGGTTGAGAAGGTCATTAAGTTACTTTTGCTCAAGCTGCCTATTTTCTGAAGCAGTCACCTTTTATCTTCTATGCTAAAGGTAGCTGCAAGGTCAGTTGTAGTATGTGAAGTTACAGTTGTTTTTTTCACTGGCAGTCAGGCTGTCTCTTGAAATTATGGTTTTCCTTATATGTCATTGAGATTGACCAGTCACGTAGATAACACTAGTCGCTCTAGGTAAATCTGACGTTAACGTGTTAAGTAAGTAACATGAGATTTATTTAACCTGGAATAGAACCTCAACAGCGTTAGTCTAATACGATCACATCTGAGTTAGCCGATCTACAACACCATGGACCACTTAAAGCCTAACTCTCCAGTTAAAGCGACTGTCCACAGTAAAAAGTATAGTAAATCTCCACTGTGTTTGTATTTCAATAAAGATTGCATATTGTGATTTTACGTTTGTGTTCAGTCTCTCTTTTTTATCTCACGAGTTGTTAGTCACAGAACATAGAATTACTTCGTAGTAAATATCTTGTCGAATCTCCTGTTATCCTGAGGATCTACCTCCTCGCTCTTAGGAAAAATAAGTGCTGTCGAAAAATATCACATCGTTACTATATTTGTGTTGTTATGAATTCTGAATTTTTTTCCTCCTTTAATAGTATAACACTATTTATATACCAACATTATAATTCTTAATACAGGAAAAGCAAGAAATTCAAATGCTCCACATAACAATACTCTGATTGTTTCTCTATCATGGAAAAAAAGGTTTTAAGGAAAACATGTATTTACTTATTAAGAAATTGACCAATAGCAAGAATTGTTGAACTCATTCCCTGGCGTCGGAATTCTCAGCATCGCTCCCTTTAAGAGTAACCACAGGGTAATTATATGAAGTATTTGTTCATATTCATGTTTAGTGGCAATATGTTTAAAACTTGCAAGCAAAGAAAAAAAAAACAATACACACAGATGCATATTACATCCGAGTAAAAGTTTTCGCTTTAAAGTTAACTTCTCTTCAAAATATCTCAACCTCATAATGTATAAATTATATAACACATTGTTACGACAACGCAGGTCACGTGACGCTTGTAACACGCCACTTCCTTCTCGAACCTTCATGAAATGTCGGAAGACTACTAGATTGGGATAGTCTTGTATATATAAGACCGGCCAAGAAGCAACGTAAGGTAATGTGTAATTGAACAGCGGAGAGAGTATATTGTTGAGCACGTGAGACGTTCGTTGTGAATTATAGCGTTTTTTATAGCGCGACTGTTGAAATTAAGTGTATCGCAAAGTTGTATTCAGAAAGAATAAACCAGTTTTATTTAAGAAAGGACTTGTATCGGTAAAGTTTCTTCGGAAAGAATTTTTACGGAAAATTAACTAACGAACGGAGACGTAACAATATTATACACCTAAATAACTGATGCAACCAACAGAGAATGTAACAATACAAATAAAGAACGGTCACAATCTGTATACAGAAGTTAACAATACAAATAAAGAACGGTCACAATCTGTATACAGAAGTTAACAATACAACTAAAGAACGGTCACAATCTGTATATAGAATGTAACAATACAAATAAAGAACGGTCACAATCTGTATACAGAAGTTAATAACACAACTAAAGAACGATCACAATCTGTATATAGAATGTAACAATACAACGAAAGAGTGGTCACAATCTGCACACAGAAGTGAACAACACAACTAAAATATGATCACAATCTGTATATAGAATGTAACAATACATCTAAAGAACGGTCACAATCTGTACACAGAATGTAACAACATAACTAAAGAACGGTCACAATCTGTAAAAATGTAAAAATACAGCTAAAGAACGCTCAAAATCTGTCTACAGAATGTAACAATACAAATAAAGAACGGTCACAATCTGTACACAGAAGTTAACAATACAACTAAAGAACGGTCACAATCTGTATACAGAAGTTAACAACACAATAAAGAACGATCACAATCTGTATATAGAATGTAACAATACATCTAAAGAACGCTCACAATCTGTTTACAGAATGTTACAATTCAACTCAATAACGGTCACAATCTGTATATAGAATATAACACTACATCGAACGAACACAGTTTAATGATGGACACAGAGAACGAATGCAATCTGTATACAGAAGTTAACAACACAACTAAAGAACTATCACAATCTATATGCAGAATGTAACAATACAGCTAAAGAACGGTCACAATCTGTACACAGAATGTTAACAATACAACTAAAGAACGGTCACAATCTGTATACAGAAGTTAACAACACAACTAAAGAACTATCACAATCTATATGCAGAATGTAACAATACATCTAAAGAACGCTCACAATCTGTTTACAGAATGTAACAATACATCTAAAGAACGGTCACAATCTGTATATAGAATATAACACTACATCGAACGAACACAGTTTAATGATGGACACAGAGAACGAATGCAATCTGTATATGAAATATAATTACACATTTAAAGAATGGAGAAAGTCCGTAGAAATCGAATTAAGACATCTACAGAACGGACAGGCCATAGAGAATACAACAATAAATAAGAATTCAAGTAAAGAACGAATACAACGTATTAAAACATTAATCATTTCTGACAAAACAGTTCACAAGAGGCACGCGCTGTATGCCCTTGATATCGACTTTACTGAGAACTCTCCTATTGTTCAGAAAACACTATTGTAAATACAGTTTCAAAAGCGAATACAATCACGCGAGGTTACGCGGAAATAAGTGACTTTTTTTTGTTAGCCAGTTATCTGATATCTACCCAGTATATTATGTACTGTTACTCGTGTTTTATGGACAGGTGTAAGTTACAAAACAGAAGCGATCTCATTTCACCAGGAAGTTTCTTAATGGGCAAAGCAGGAAATATGATAATCTGAACGGCTGACGATATATGCGCGGCAGCCGTCACGTAGGCAGGGTGCTTTTCATTCGTTTATTTATTTGTTGGTGGTTTATGGTACCCTTGATTATTTTTTGCAGATAATAAAAAATTGGATTTCTTTTTTTTTTTGGTAACACATTTTCGTCTACTTTCTTTATCTATCTGAATGTTTTCGTTCGTATTTTATTTGAAATTTAGGCAAGAGGGCGTTTTGAAAATTGTCATTTCATGAGATATTAATTGATAAACAAATAAGTGAATAGAGGTGTGTTCAATGGAGCGCATACGAAAATGTGTCCGTATTTACGTCATTATTAACGGACACGGAAAATCTGGGACAGGACAATGAGGGAATGATGCGTTTATCAAGTTTGATCAAATACCGATCATTTTTGATTGAGTTATAGGGCAAAAATAGTGTGAAAACTCGGTCACCAGGCTAACAGACAGGGAATTTTTTCGTGACCTTGATCTTTGGCCTTGACCCTACAAAAACTAATCACTTCTAAATGGGGACATAGTCCAATTGTACAAATTTTCGTCCAAATCCATTCAGCCGTTTTCGAGAAACCTTGCTGACAAACACATCCAGGGGTGAAAACATAACGTCCGTCCACTTTCGATAGCAGGGGTAATAATAAATCGTCTCTGGGCTGAGTTTTTAATATTATCTTTAATTAGGCTAAAGTCTTCACTTCCGTGTTTAAATCGTTCAATGTATTTGATTACATTCTCTTTGTGTACAACTACTCTGTATATTTAAAAAATGGAACCTTTTCTAATCTGAACACTTTCGAAATGTAGACACTGGGTGACGTGGTTCGAACGGTTGGTCGAATTCCATAGACCAGTGTTTTCCGAACTGTGGGTGCCCTCTGGGGGAGGGGGCGTGTACTGGTGGCTGGGCGGACGACGGAAGAAACAGAAGAGTTGGAGACGACGATAACTTAACAAAACTATCACTTTGCTTTTTTTTTTTGGCTCTCACATTTGCTCACTCCCTTACAAGCATTTTTTTCATTAAAAAAGTTATGAAAAAGAGGTACAAAAAATGTTGATTTTACTGTCCTCACTTGAGAAAATTATTTTAATGTGAATGGGGGGTCGCAACAGAAAAGTTTCTGAGTTAGGGAGGCGATATTTAAAGTTTGGAAAACACTGCCCTACAGAATGCATTCTGTAATATGATTCTAATAAAAAAAATAAGAGCTAAAAATCAATGAAAAAAATGGTAGCAATTATATTCTTTTACTTAGAACATAAAAACGGTAGAGTTCGATTTAAAATACCTACGTAGATTTTTTGGTCAGTTATTTCCTACTGTACGCTTCTGGTCAGGGCAGGTCAAAGGTGATTCTTAAATATATGCAAACACTTAAAATGCTGCCCGCACATTATATATAGATATACACAGACATTTTCTTGCCACCATTTCTTTTTTCTGTACACTCCTCTACTCCGTCTCCTCCTCCTGACCTCCAATATGCCACCTCCAGCAATATGATGCAGAGGGCGGGTCGCGGGTTCGAATCTCCATCATACCAAATATGCTCACCCTTTTAGCCGTGGGGCGTTATAATGTGAC